TTGGTTCGGGCGTCTCTGCTAACGCCGGCGCAGAGCAGCACTTCTGCTGTGGAGTAGTGGCCGTGCCGGGCCGCGAGGTGAAGGGGTGACGTCCCGAGCTGCGTGTGAAACCAGAGCACCGTCGGGTGGCAGCAAGAGTCGCCACCAGGATGGCCGGGGGTAACGAGAGTGACGTAGCTAATTAGGAAATTCATTTAACCTCTTTTTTCCCCCTTCCCGTAAAAACAAGGGGCTGCACATACAATATTTTTGCTGACAGGTTAAACTTTTGAGGAATCTATATTATCTGCACTTCCCAAAGCATCAAGACTTTGCCATCCGGGGCGGCGCGAGAGCACAGGCTTCACACAAATGTACAGCTCATCCTCGCCGGAGGAAGATCTTGGTTTTTCCAAGTGCTTCCTCTGGAATCCGCTCCTCCACAGAAATCCCAATCCACCCTCTGCTTTTACCATCCGATTGCCTTCTGTCCCCTTTAGGTTCGGCCCCGAGGAACCACCCGCCCCAGGCGGAAAACCCACGCGGTCCCCCCGTACCCCGTCGGTGGTGAAGGGAGCGCCGCTCGCCATCAGCTTCCGCACTTCGTCATCTTCGCCGTTGCGAGCCGCTTCCAGCAGCCTCTTCCCCAGGTCCACGAGGGACATCGTCACACATGGGAATGAGTAGTTGCCGAAAGCTGCTTCAGAAGCGAGGGAAGAGGGAAAACAAACGGACAAAAAGTGGTGAGGCAGCGGGATTTTAAAAGCCCAACACGATCACAGAATCATGGAATGGTTTGGGTTGGAAGCGACCTTAAAGACCATCCAGTTCCAACCCCCTGCCATCGGCAGGGACCCCTTCCATAGCCCAGGTTGCTCCAAGCCTCATCCAGCCTGGCCTTGGACACTCCCAGGGATGGGGCATCCACAGCTTCTCTGGGCAACCTGTCCCAGTGCTCCCACCCTCTGCGGGAAGAATTCCTTCCCCATATCTAACCCTTATATCTTATCCAAATCTGCGATGATTAGACAGGCATAGATGTCCATCACATTCCTCAGTCCTGTGCCTGGAAACATTGAGGCTCAGCCCACAACCGGCTCAGAGCTCCGGCAAAATCCCGCTTACCTCACCAGCGCCTCGCACGGACACCGAGACTCGCCCATGTGGATCCAGTTCCAGGAGCAGAACCTGTAAAAGCAAAGCCAAAGCCTCTCACGTTCGTGTGGATCATTAAAGCCCCTTAAGGACGCGATCTTATCTCCGAGATGCCCCCCCTGACCCCAGCAGGAGCAGCTAAGCCTGGAGGAACCATCCCTGCTCCCCGCTGCTCCGGGAGAAAACAAACCCTGGTGACTCCAGTGACTTGTTCCAGGTCACAAAAGGAGCAGAACCCGAAAGCGGCGCGCGACGCCCCGGCCAATGGCATCTGTTTGCTCCGAGCTTCGTTAAAGCACGGCGTTAATTGGGGCAGTAACGAACTACAGCCTTTTCCTCGGGGCTACGCTGCCGTGACTATTGAAGAGGGGGCCTCCCCTGCCGTGACTATTGAAGACCACCCCTAAAGCCACCAACTCATCCACAACACTCGGTGAGCGGCACAGCGCCCCCGGATCAGCGATTCCGGAGACCCCCGACTGGTTTTTCCTTCAATTACAGTTCCATGGAATCGCTGGAAAGCTCCATTTCTCCCTCATTCCTTCTCCCTTCGTAACACCCCACCGTTTCCTCAGTGACCACCAGCACAAGCCCTTTAAAGCAAAACCAAACAGCAACCCTCACCCCTAAATTCCACCGGGATACGCCAACACCTCCAACTACTCTCCACATGGAGCTTTTCCCGGGCGTGCAGTTATCCCGGGGGGGAGCCCGGAGCAGTTACCCCGTTACCCCGCCGTCGGCACCTTGGAAGCGGGAGATCCTTAACGACACCCGTCGGTTTCTCTCCTCCTAATTAAACCGAACCTTTGGCCACCTAATTAATTATCTGGAGGCGTCTCCCGGCGCTCTTCCCGGCTGGATGCTTTCCGGGTGGGGGTCGCAGTCTGAGGGGGTTTTGAAGTTATTTACAGTCACTCGCAGCTTGGGCTCCTGGTGACAAATTCCTCCACCTCCTCTTTGCTGCGTTTCAGAAGGAAAAGGGAAGAAAACCCCACATTTCTCAACCCCCCCCTTCCCAAAGGTGGGTGTGGGGCCAGCTCTGACCTGCCCCAGCACCCCCAAA